TTTATTTATTTTGTTATTTTATTTATTTACTATTGTAATTATAAGTATATATATAAACATAAAATATATATAGATGTATTATATATATAATATATATCTTATATATGTAACATCATTCTAAGTGTATTTTAAGATTAATTTATGTACTTATATTAACATTAAAATACATTACTTTACACGTTACATATATATAAGATGTATATATATTAGATATATAATATATATATATATATTTTATATATATATATATATATATATATATATATATATATATATATATTTATATACATTTAATTTATTTTAAAACATATCTAATGATTTTTTTTTTACACTTCCCACCAGCAGGGGGACTGTCTGACATTTCAGACAGTCCCCTTGCTGGCAGATCCACAGCCAGCTATAGGGGGCCATGTGATCGTTCTTTGAGAGCGATCACATGGCCCCCGGGCGCCTGATTTGCCGGGGGAGGGCTGCCTGGGCTGTCAGGCAGCCCTCCAGAAGAGGATTGTGGTGGAGGTAAGGACCTCCAGGGGTTGCAAGCCGTTATGGCGCTCTATGCCGCTGCAACGGCTTTAAAGCCCATTTAATGCGGGACGGCATAGAACGCCGTAACTACGTTAAGGGGTTAAGGGATAATATTCAAGAATTCCTTAAGAAGAACATTTTTTTTATGAAGCACAGGTCATGTCAAACGAACTTGATTGCGTTCTACGAAGAAGTAAGTAGAAGTATAGATCAGGGTGTTGCAGTGGATGTGATCCATTTGGATTTTGCCAAGGCATTTGATACAGTTCCACACAATAGATTAGTGTTCAAACTCAAGGAAATCGGTCTTGATGAAAATGCTTGTTCTTGGATAGAACATTGGCTTAAAAATAGAGTACAAAGAGTTGTCGTTAATGGTAAATTTGCAATCTGGACAGAGGTGGCAAGTGGTGTCCCTCAGGGTTCTTATTCTAATTTAGGGCCCCCACCCACCGCTCATGGATGGAGGCCAGGGGGGAGGACAATAGGTCCCCCCACCTTATTGGTATTTAGGGCCCCCACCCGCCACTCAGGGGTGGGGGTTGGGGGGGACAATAGGTCCCCCCTTATTTTACTTTAGGGCCCCCACCCGCCGTTCAGTGGTGGGGGCCGGAGGGAGGGCAATAGGTCCCCCCTTCAGGTTAGAAGCGGCACAGGAGGGGGCTCGGGAGGTTTTTTTTGTTTTTTTTACAAAGGCTGCTCACTGTTTACTAGACATGCCCCTACTCGTAGTATAGCGAGTAGGAGCATAATTTACTAATACCAAGTAATCTTTACTTAGTATTAGTAAATTTGTCTGAAAGACCAATTTAGGTGTTTCAGCCTATTAGTAGATAGCTCCCTATTACCATGGGAATTAGGGAGTTATCTACTTATTCATTCCTGTCCTTCCATTGACTGGCTAAGTAACTTACATTTTATATGAATGTGTTTCAAATGCTTACAGCTGAATCCTGGCTATGTTTGTATACTTTTTATTTAAACTTGTATACAGTGTAACATTCTTCATTCTTCCACTGGGTAGGTATATAAGTACTTCGGCAATACTGCAATTCAGCTATTTGGAAGTATCCGAATGTCTGAATTGGCCGAAATTCATCCGAATTGACATTGAACTAAACGAATTGCACATGTCTAGTGGCTTATGTAGGTCCCGCAATGCGGTGCAGTTCATGTGCCTGTGCTATGCCAGGGGATGATTTCTGTCGTGGGGGGGGATGTAGATCCCGAGGATTGCTTGGTCTGCAGGCCTCATTTGCCCAGCATTGTGACACAGTCCTCCGGGGAGTTGATGGTTATGGTTTCTCCGCCTCTGGTGACAATCAGCTTTGTGGGGTAACCTCATCTGTATCGGAATCCGTGATTCTGCAAGTCCATCATCCAACAAGGTTGATTTCTAGCCTGCGTCGCAGGGTTCCTGCTGACAGGTCCGCCATGATGCGTTCATTTGAGTACTCCTCGTGCATGTCAGGCTTACTTCTGCAGGATCGAAGGACCAGCCCCTTATGTGGTAGTAGTGTGCCCGAAGAAGGACATCACAAAGCGTTATGTCTGGAAGGTATTTTGGTTAACGGACCCTATCCACGAGCAACATATCTGCAGAGATTCCAGGGGCGTAAGCATGCATGAGGCCCCTTACATAGACTTGGAGGTCCCTTGGCAATATGGATTCAGGAACCCCTCGTAGGCGCAGATTGTTTCATTGCGCTCTGTCTTCGGCTTCCGCTATACGGGTCTCCATAGTCCCCATCCTATGCTCCAGAACCTGGACGTGATCGGCCATATTGTTGTGTGCAGAGGCTAGTCCCCTGCATTCATGTTCCATGCGGGTTGTTCTGTTAGTGAGGCTCAGGACGTCTGTCTTCATTTGGTCCTCTGTGGATTGCCATGAGGTGATGAGCTTGGTAGACATAGCTTCCATTGCACGCACAAAGAAATCTTTAGTAAGGCCTTCGTGTGGCAGTGATGTATCCTGTGTAGCCATGTGGCTGCTGGCCTCCGTGACCTTTAGTGCCATCTTGTAGGGCCGTCTGCGTGGGCTCAGGTAGAAATGTCGGTTTTTGGCCTATAAAATTTTGCTTGTCAGCTTTTGAGGAGGCTTTTTTGTGTTTATGCTGAGACATAGTGAGGTAGAAGGTTTCAATGATTTCTGCTATAGTAATTGTGGTTTAATCTGGAGCCCATGTGTCGGAGCGATTTTCTATGCGGCCATCTTACTCGGCGGTCAGCCACGCCCCCTCAAGCTGGAACTTTTTGTCTGAGACTTTGGACTTCTTTGGGATTCAAGACCTATTTAAAGTTAGCTCTATGACTTTATATAGTAATCCCAGTGCTAAGATTACAGGACCAGCTCTCAATTTGAATTTTTATTAACTTACACAATGGAACGAGGCAGGGCTGCCCTCTCTCCCCTTTGTTGTATGCAATTTCTCTTTGAACTCCTGGCAGCTTTGATAAGATTAACAGAGGCAATTAAGGGTATTGCAATTAATAACCAAACTTTTAAAGTCACATTATATGCTGATATCATACTAACTCTTACATCTCCTGAAACTTCTATCCCCGCATTGTTATTAACAATAGGGGAATACAGTTCTCTCTCTAATTATAAATTAAATATATCTAAAACTCAAATAATATCTACCGGAAGGCATCCTCGAAGCTTTCCAAGATTACTATGCGACACTCTATACGCAAGCTCGAGCTCGGGAGGGTCCCGCGGAGCAGCGTCATAAGGACCGAGTCTGGACATACCTTGAAAACCATGTGGCCAGAAAACTCACCCCGGAACAGGCAGCGGAACTGGACCAACCTCTGACGATTGAAGAACTGGCCGGCGCCATGAAAGTCTCAAAGCCGCATCGGGCACCAGGCCCGGACGGGCTACCGCTATCATACCACCGCACCTTCAGGGACATCCTATTGCCGAGACTCCTCACGGGCCTCAACTCAATTCAAACGGATGGCCACTTCCCTATGGACACCCTGAGAGCCACAATCACTGTCCTCCCAAAAGAGGGCAAAGACCCCACGAACTGTGCCAGCTTCCGCCCAATATCCTTACTAAATGCGGATCTGAAGATATTCGCTAAGGCAATGGCGCTACGGTTTTCCCATATCCTACCTGACTTGGTACACCTCAACCAAGTCGGTTTCATACCCGGGAGGGAGGCCAGGGACAACACCATGAGAGCCCTCAATGACATACACTAGGCCAAGATTGGAAAACGGGAGGTGGTGCTCCTGTCGACAGACGCCGAAAAAGCGTTTGACAGGGTGGACTGGACCTTCCTCGCGGAGACGCTACACCACGTGGGCTTTGGCTCCCACATACGAACATGGGTGGCCGCACTATACACTTCCCCAACGGCGCGCATTCGGGTCAATGGAGCACTGACAAAACCATTTAGCATCCACAATTGTACCCGCCAGGGATGCCCACTGTCACCCCTTCTGTTTGCCCTCACTCTCGAACCCTTTCTAGAGGCGGTCAGACGGGACGGGGGCATAATGGGGACTCGCCTGGGCGGAACGGAACACCGAGTCGCGCATATGCGGACGACATGCTCTTCTTCCTGGAACAACCCAGAATCTCGACCCCGAATCTGCTCGAGGCGTTCAAACAATATAGCAAAGTTTCTAATCTAAAACTTAACCTAGAAAAATCGGAGGCGATGCCGGTGGCACAAAACCTGACCCTAACACGGCACTTTGAAGCACACTTCGCGTTCAAAATCTGCACAACAAAGCTCCGATACCTCGGAGTCTGGTTACCGAAAGAACTCTCGCAGATCTACCAACTGAACTTTACTCCTCTCCTTGTAACGCTACAACAGGACTTAAAACGATGGTGTCCAAGTACATATCGTGGTTCGGTCGCATAAGCGCTATAAAAATGAATATCATGCCGCGCGTTCTATACTTATTTCAAACGCTGCCTACCACTATCCCCAGAGTCTTCTTCCAGACGCTAAGGACCGATATTAGACAGTTTGTCTGGAACAAAGGGTCTACACGGGCTCGGAGAACGATTTTGGAGCGACCAAAGAGTGACGGTGGTATGGGACTCCCGTCCGTACTCATGTACTACCAGGCGACCCACCTACATAGACTGGTGGATTGGCACGCCAACCCAAACGCTAAGCAGTGGGTGGACATGGAGCTCCAACAAGCACAGGGGAAGATCCCCGCCCTGCTGTGGTTGGGAGAGGCTACGCTTAGAGAAATAAGCACAGGCAACCCAATGATAGACGCCACCCTCAGGGTCTGGTGCTGAATAAGATACACCAAGCAGCTCACCACAGCCCCCAACCCGCTCACACCCATAACCAACAACCCAAAGCTAGCCGACGGACTAACTCCTACTGCCCTTAAAAACTTTCAGGCGACAGATTGGGTCTACCTACACCAATGGTGCAGCGGCCGGAGCTTGAAGCCCTTGACAGATCTGGTACAGGATCGCAGACCTACCAGACTGGACGAATTCCATTACCACCAGCTCAAAACGTACTTCAACGCTATCAAGGGGAAGGATCACGTACACCGCCCCCTCTCGTATCTGGAACAACTATGCGCGACCAGGCAACACATCTCACACGGCGTGTCAACTCTGTATACCGCTCTAATGAATAACGGAGATAAGGACGCCTTGGGCTTCACGAGGCGGTGGGAAATAGAAACGGGGACTGAGCTCACGGACATGGAATGGAACAAAATCTTCCTACTGACGCATAAGGGAAACATAAGCTCAAAATATCAGGAGTGCAACTATAAAATCCTAACGCACTGGTACAGGACCCCGGACATCCTAAGACATATCCATGACACGATCCCCGACGACTGCTGGAGATGCGGAACTGAAAGGGGCACAGCATACCACATCTGGTGGACATGTCCCCTTATAGCCCCTTACTGGCGAACGATAAACCGCACAATAGAAGATATCACAGGCACTGAACTTCTGCTACAACCCCTGACGATGTTGCTCAACCATACGCACACACCACTGACAGCCTACAAAAGAGGGCTCACTATACACCTGCTCACGGCGGCTAAGACGCGTATCCCCACACACTGGAAAACCACGTCGACACCCTCACTAGAACGGTGGATCGCTAGGGTGGAAGATATCTACAACATGGAAAGGATGACGGCCTCATTGCAGGGACGTGCGGAAAAATGTGCGCTGACCTGGTACCCATGGATGGACTATGTGACCAAGAGAGCAGTGGTGGCGGGCCCGCACGCGGGGGGGGGGGGCGTCGCACGCCTCGGGGGGGATGGAGGCAGGGACCTAGTATAGACTGACCACACGACCGTACTAAAGGACAACTCCCTGCACACAGAACAACCCCTGAACCCACTCCCTAGACCTCGGACGGACATAAACACTGACACACCCTAACCCAAGACAGCTGAACTCCCTCTAATGACCACGGACGGCCAAGGCATAGGACCACGGGAGTAAATTCAGAGACACGCTGACCTCCCTAACCCAGCAACAAGGAGTAGCACACAAACGGGGGACCACCCCAATCCCACACATCACTTGACATCAACGGCATGGCGAAAGCCAATACCTAACACAGAGGAGGGGAACCAAGGACCGCACAATCCCAGTCATTCGCACCACAAGGCACTACAACACGGAGGGCACTAAGCCAAGGGGAGATGGGATGAAGGGTCAGGAGCACTCGAACCATCAAAGGACACCTCAAATTGAACGACACACACACAATATCCTACGGAATTCCACAGGACACCGATACGTAGGGCATACGCCTAGAGGGGACCTAGTTGCAGAATTAGAGGGTTCTCAAACCCGTGCAGCCACTTCACGGTTACTCACAAGGTGTCAACCCACCCCGCACTCACTAGGTTGAACCCGCGAGGCATCGAAAGACAAAGACCGACAGCATACCATGCTCAGCCACTTACCAGTACACTACCTACTGTACGGCCCAGACAAAAATGACCGTAGACAGAGAGGATGGGGGGGAGGGGAGGGGAGCTATGCACAGCCAGATACAGTACCCCTTAAACAACTTTTCACAGGGGTTCTCACTCCAAGCGAGAAAACACTGTAGATAGCTGATTTAACATCGAAAAATCACTAAGCAACGACAACAGAGGCTACTGAAATGACTCAGGAGAATAAGCCTTAACACGCTATGCTGTATAATGTACAAGGACATAATTGTAAAGCACAATTTTCTCCCCCAATGCTGTACAATATTCATGCCTGTAACACTTCGATAAATCTTAATAAAATTTGATTGACTAAAAAAATAAAACTCAAATAATATCAAATGGACTAACTTTATCTCAAAAACAAATACTTTTAGATTTTAAATGGAATAAAAATTGGATTGAATACTTGGGTATTAAGATTTTATTCGATCTTCATCAAATCATGCAGGATAATTATAAAGGATTACTAGATGATCTGGACCAACAGATACATAAGTTAAAATATTATGAGTTTTCTTAGCTCGGTCGGACCAACATGGTTAAGGCTTATTTGGTCCCTAAAATAATTCTTATTCAGAATGATACCAATGTGGGTTTCAGGGAATATTTTAGATAAAATAAACTTTTACTCTTTTATATGGAATGGTAAAAAAATCTCGAATCACTCAAAATACCTTAAGGAGAGCTGGCACTCAATTTGGTCTAAATTACCCTGATTTAGGATTACTCTATGATACCACAATGTTTACTCATATACTATCTAGAGCAATAGAAAATAACTGTAAGTAAAGGTTGGTTTCACTGTGAGAAATCCTATTTGAAAGGTCAAAATCCATTTGATTTAATATGGATTAAACCTTTCCTTATAAAAGCTTTAAATTTGAAAAATATAATCTTGAGAGCTGCAGTCATAACAGCAGCAAAGGTCAGAAATAGGTTGTGTATCAAGTATGTATTCACCTCATCCACACCACTGAAGGTGATTAGTATGTTTATACAAGATTTAGATTTAAAGGGATGGATAGAGAGAAATATAAATACCTTTGCAGATATTCAGTCCAACATCGGGAGAAGAACAGTTAGTCAGTCGAAGGAAGATTATAACCTTACAGGTTGGGACGTTTTTCCCTATTTGAGGATTAAAATCTTTTTCAAACATAAACTCATTATTGACCCAACTATTCTTGATGATTTTTTTAAGAAACATAAGAATAAACTAATATCTATAGTAAAGAATGTAGTAATAATTAATCAGAACTCTCCTCTAAATTTCTCTATAGGAAAATGGGAAAGAGATTTTGATAAATAATTCTCTTTTCAGACTTGGTGTAAAACCTGGCCCGGGGGTAAAGAAATCAGTGCATTCTGTTAATTTACAGGAAACGTTCTACAAACTAATCCACAGATGGTATCTTGATCCCCATAGAATAAGTAAATTTGACAAATTAACTAACAACTCATGTTGGAGGTATAATCAGCCCATATGTACTCTTTCCCATACATGGTGGGAATGCCCAAAATTGTAATAAGATTAAAAATGAAACTGAAGGAATCGTAACAAAAATTCTTCATAGTAAATTCGTACTGAAACCTCATGTCTGGTTATTTCATTTAGAACTTCCTAAGTTAGATAAAGACACTAGATATCTATTAGTTAACATCTTAGTCGCAGAATAATGGCAAAGAGTAAACCCCCTCAGAATGGGCACACATAATTAGTCAGATTTCACACCAAAAGCAAAATGAAATATTACTTTTATGCGAGGAATATCAATTTGACTTCATATTACAAAATCTGGTCACCATGGTTTAAACTTCTTTTGAATAATTAGTCCCTTATGGGTATGATGCTTGCCGCGACAAGTAAATCGAATAAAGCTTTGTTAAGACTGTTGTTAGAGGAAACTATCATTTTATATAGAGGGGAAGGGAGAAGGTATGGGTTGGATTGTTTAATTAGTTAATACTCCCATATTAACTAATTAGGTCTCATCCCGCTGGCGGCCGCACATGCGGAATCGTTCTCCCCTGCCGGCTGACATTCGGCAGGGGAGGAGCGTGGGTGGACCCTAAGCCACCACCGAGGGACATCGGCGGTGGTCTCAGGTAAGTCACTAAAGCAACATGGGATGGGGAGTGGGAGGGAGAGGGGACCTGCAGTGCCAGGAAAACTATTTGTTTTCCTGGCACTGGAGTGTCCCTTTAACCCCTTAAGGAACGGCCTGTTTTTGCGATGTTGTACGTTAAGGACCAGAGCGGTTTTAACACTTTTGAGGTGTTTGTGTTTAGCTGTAATTTTCTGCTCTCTCATTTACGGTTCCCACACAAATTATATATTGTTTTTTTCAGGACAAGGGCTTTCTTTACATACCATTATTTGTATCATGTCATATATTTTACTTTAAAAAAAAAAAAATGGTGAAAAATGTAAAAAAAAACATGTTTTTGGACTTTTACTTGAAAAATCTTTTAATTATCTACAAAAGCTAATGAAAAAAACTGCTAAATAGATTCAAAATTTTGTCCTGAGTTTAACCCCTTCAGGACGGAGTCAATAGTGCACGTTCTGATAAAAAAAAAACGTAAACAAAAACTGGAATTTGCGCTATATGTCTGTTCAACCGTAATTCACCGCTGTTACATTAAGTGTACCCACACTTATTATATATCATTTTGTTCAGGAGAAACAGGGCTTTAATTATTTATCATTAACTATTCATATATGGAACATAATTTATTATGAATAAAATTTGAAAAATGTGAGAAAATAAGATTTTTTTTTTTTAATTTGTATTTCCGTCTGACATTTTAGCTGTGAATGTTATAATACTGTTAGGTTTTACAGCAAAAAAAATGCACATTTGTAGTCAGCGATGTCTCACGAGTACAACAGTAACCCCTATGAACAGGTTTTATGGTGTTTTGGAAAGTTACAGGGTCAAATATAGAACGTTCCATTTTCAAATTGAAATTTGCCAGATTAGCAATGTTACCTTTGAGACGGTGTGATAGCCCAGGAATGAGAATTACCCCCATTATGGCATACCATTTGAAAAAGTAGACAACCCAAGGTATTGAAAGTGGGGTATGTTTAGTCTTTTTTAGTAGACACTTAGTCACAAACACTGGCCAAAGTTTGCGTTCATATTTGTTTTTGTGTGAAAAAAGCAAAAAAATTATATTTGGCCAGTGTTTGTGACTAAGTGGCTACTAAGAAAGACTGGACATACCCCACTTGCAATACATTGGGTTGTCTACTTTTGCAAATGGTATGCCATCATGGGGGTAGTTCTCATTCCTGGGCTACCGTATGCTCTCAAAGGCAACATAACCAATCTGGCAAATTTCAATGTCAAAAAAATGAAATGCAAGCCTTATATGTGACTCTCTAACTTTCCAAAACACCATAAAACCAGTACATTGGAGGTACTGTTATTCTCGGGAGACTTCACTAAACACAAATATTAGTGTTTTAAAACAGTAAAACATATTACAACAATAATATAGTCCATAAAAGTGCAGTTCGTTTGTAAAAAATGCAAAAAACTTCACTTTTACTTAAAATATCATCGTTGTAATACAATTTACCAGTTTGAAACACTAATATTTGAGTTCAGCGAAGTCTCCCGAGTAAAACAGTACCCCCTATGTACAGGTTTTATGGTGTCTTGGAGAGTTACAGGGTCAAATATAGTGCTTGCGAATTAAATTCTCTGCACTTTCTCCCTGTGTTGTCAGGCATGTCAATCAAATTTTAATTAATCAAATCACATAATTATGTTAAAAGAT